AGTAGTAGTAGTAGTAGCAGTAGTAGTGGTAGTAGTAGCAGCAGTAGTAGTAGTAGTGGTAGTAGTAGTAGTAGAAGAAGAAGAAGCAGTAGTAGTAGTAGTAGTAGCAGTAGTAGTGGTAGTAGTAGGAGTAGTACTAGTAGTACTAGTAGCATTCGCAGGAGTAGTAGGAGGAGCAGTAGTAGCAGTAGTAGCTGTAGAGGCAATCGTAGTAGTGGTGGTAGTTGTAGAAGTAGTAGTAGAAGAAGAAATAGAAGTAGAAGTAGTAGTAGTAGTAGTAGTAGTACTGGTGGTAGTGGTGCTATTGGTGGTAGTTGCGGTAGGTGTAGTAGTGGCAGTAGTGATCGCAGTAGTAGTAGTAGTAGTAGTAGTAGTAGTAGCCGTACTCGCGTTTGTAGTCGTAGTCGTCGTCGTAATAGTCGTAGTCCTAGCCGTAGCAGTAGTAGTAGTATTAGTAGTAGTACTAGTAGCAGCAGCAGCAGCAGTAGTGGTAGTAGCAGTAGTATTAGCAGCAGCAACACCAGTAGTAGTAGTAGTAGTAGTAGTAGTAGTAGTAGCAGTAGTCGTATGCTGAGTAGTAGCAGGTAGCAGTAGTAGTAGTAGCAGTAGTAGCAGTAGTAGTAGCAGTAGTAGTAATAGTAGTAGTAGTAGTAGTAGTCGTAGGAGTAGTGGTAGTAGTAGTAGTAGGTGTAGAAGTAGTACTAGTAGTAGTAGTAGTAGTAGTAGTAGTAGTAGTAGTAGTAGTAGTAGTAGTAGCAGTAGTGGTACTAGTAGTAGTAGTAGTAGTAGTAGCAGTAGCAGTAGTAGTAGTAGTAATAGAAGTAGTAGAAGTAGTAGTAGGAGTAGTAGTCGTAGTCGTAGTAGTAGTAGTAGTAGTAGTAATAGTGGTAGGTATAACAGCAGCAGCAGCAATAGTAGTAGCAGTAACAGTATCAGGATTAGCGAAGTAGTGGTAGTAGTAGTAGTCGTCGTCGTCGCCGTCGTCGCAGTCGTAGTCGTAGTTTTAGTCGTAGTCGTAGTCGTAGTAGGAATTTTAGCAGTAGTAGTCGTAGCAGCAGTAGTACGAGTAGTGGTAGTAGTAGTAGTGGTCGTTGTAGTAGCAATAGTAGTAGTAGTAGTAGTAGTAGTAGTCGTAGAAGTAGTAGTAGTAGTAGTAGTAACAATAATGGTAGTAGTAGTAGTAGTAGTAGTAGTCGCAGCAGTAGTCGTAGTAGTAGTGGTCGTAGTAGCAGTAGCAGTAGTCGTAGTAGTGGTAGTAGTAGTTGTAGTAGTAGTAGTAGTACTGGCCGTAGTAGCCGGAGTAGTAGTGGGAGTAGGAGACCTGTTTGTATTTTTTTGTATCAATAGTAGTAGTAGCAGTAGTAGCAGATTCGTGGCCGTAGTAGTAGCTGGAATAGTAGTAGTTGTAATTGTAGTTGTAGTCGTAGTAGTAGTAGTCGTCGTAGTAGTAGTAGTAGTGGTAGTAGTAGTTGTCGTAGCAGTTCTGGTGGTAGTGGCAGTGGTATTTGCAGTAGTAGTAGTAGTAGTAGTAGTAGTAGTAGTAGTAGTAGTTGTCGTAGTAGTAGTACTAGTACTGGTACTGGTACTACTAGTAGTAGTAGTAGTACTAGCAGTACTAGCAGTAGTAGTAGTAGTAGTAGTGGTAGTAGTAGTAGTAGTAGTAGCCGTCGTGGTAGTAGTCGTAGTAATACAATTAGAAGTAGTCGTAGTAGTAGTAGTAGTAGTAGTAGTAGTAGTAGTAGTAGTAGTACTACTAGTAGTAGTAGTGGCGGTGGTGGTGGTGGTAGTCGTAATAGAAGTAGTAGTAGTAGTAGAAACGGTAGTGGTAGTGGTAGTGGTAGTGGTAGTGGTAGTGGTATGAGTAGCAGTAGTAGTAGTAGTAGTAGTAGTAGGAGTAGGAGTAGTAGTAGTAGTAGTAGTAGTAGTAGTAGTAGTGGTAGTCGCAGTAGTAGTAGTAGTAGTAGTAGTAGTAGCAGTAGACGAAGAAGTAGTAGTAGTAGTAGTAGCAGTAGTAGGCGTAGAACTAGTAGTAGACGTAGGTTGTCGTATTAGTAGTAGCAGTAATAGTTTTAGTAGTAGCAGTAGCAGTAGCAGTAGAAGTAGTGGTAGTAGTAGTAGTAGTAGTTCCAGTAGTAGTAGTAGTAGTAGTAGTAGTAGTAGTCGTCGTAGTAGTGGTAGTAGTAGTAGTAGGAGTAGTAGTGGTAGCAGTAGCAGCAGCAGTAGTAGTAGCAGTAGCAGCCGCAGTCGTAGTATTAGTAGTATTCGTAGTAGTAGTAGTAGTAGTAGCAGTAGTAGTAGTATTCGTAGTAGTAGTAGTAGTAGTGGTAGTAGTAGTAGTAGTAGTAGTAGTGGTGGTGGTGGTGGTGGTGGTGGTGGTGGTGGTGGTGGTGGTGGTGGTGATGGTGGTGGTGGTGGTGGTAGTAGTGGTAGTGGTAGTGGTAGTGGTAGTGGTAGTGGTGGTGGTAGTAGTAGTAGTATTAGTAAGAGTAGTAGTACTAGTAGTAGTAGTA